CCCCCCCCGGACAGCTGCTACAAATCTGCATTGTCTGTAGTAAGCGTGGCTGCGTGTTCTGTTGAAGATGTCCGGGTAAGATTCCCTCTTCCGGCAATATAGTCTTCACCCTTTGCAAGAGGTATTGACTCCGAATCTAGATCCGGAATCATTGTGACTCAGTGACCGCTAGTAAATGTCCAAATCGCCCATGAAATGCACTGTTAGATGCGCTTTTATCAGTCAATTCCAAATCTACTTTCCGTTCCTGCTAAACCTTTTCTAAAAAGTTGTTAGTATGGACTCCTAGTTTTCATTGCCATGCGTTCATGATAAAGCTGCAAAAAAACATTCATATTTGTGGTAGATGTGGTTTTTTTCTTCATTATAGTGTGAAGGGTTCCAAAAGTAAATTTCAAACACATCCATCGCAATTCAATGAGTTTAGCATTTGATCATATTTCATTTTTGCAAAATCACTCAGCAAGTGGTAGAAGTAAACTTAGAGTTAGCTTAGCAAGATTCATCTGATAATTCCAAATAGCCAATGCAACTTGTGAGCTCCCTTGTGAGAAGCGGATGATGATAAATAATTATATTTTTCAACAGCAATTGTCTTGTGTTAACAATGTGAACGTTTTATTGAGTCCAAGATTTGTCAAATGAACCGTTTCAAATCCATCGCGCTCTGCAAGTGCCATGCCATCAAAAGAACCCTGAAAGTCAACGTAGCAACTGTTAAGGTTAAATTCATGGTTTTCTCAAGTTACCTAGTGGCGGCCCACCTCCAAACATTCCTGGCATTGGCGGTCCACCTCCAAACATTCCCGGCGGTGGCATTGGCGGTCCACCTCCGAACATTCCATGCGGCATTCCTCCGAATCCACCAGCCATTCCCCTTCTCCCAAAACGGTGTCTTCCAAAGCTATGTCTGCATCGCCCTCTTCCCCACATTCTTCCTCCAAATCTCCCTTGTCCTCCGAACATTCCTGGTCCCATTCCTGGTCCCATTCCCGGTCCCATCCCGAATCCCATTCCGGGTCCCATTCCGAATCCCATTCCTGGTCC